TAAAACTACTTTCTTTGTTGTTATTCTACTATATTGTAAAGACAGAAACTTAAATATTTAAAGGTGAAATCCCGGTTTCACTCAAATCATTGAAAGCTTTGCTTTTGCTTTACCTCTGATTTTTAAACGTACCTCCTTGGACCACTAAACTTCTCCCCCTCTGATTAAGCCCATAAAATCCTTGACAAATGCTCTTTTATGTTTAGTTGCTGCTTAGTTGTTTCAAAGAGACTTCAATATCCTTGCCTCCTTTTGTCTCTTTCTGAATTCTTCAATACAGTTCTGTAATACTGCTCCTTAAACTTTGTGCAACACCCATAGGTTTATCTCCCTAGTTCTCCCTACAGTGCCATAATAGTCTGTTCTTAAATGATTTTTGTAGCTACAGCTCAACATTTACTGAGATGTGTTGCATTTACTTCATAGCTATTGTCTTGATGGCAGACAGTTCTATTAATTTATTATCCCATATCAGTTTCCTGATTTGCTGTCCAGTAATTTATGACTATTTAGAGCTTTGATACTCATTACATTGTCTAGTGACCCCTTGTGCCCTCCTACCCCCACTACTTTTTGTCAGCTTGGTCTCTGGCTTGCTTGTTGCTACAGCAAGTTAGTGGGTTATGTTTCATATGCTAAGATCAATGAAAATCTTCAGCCCAATCAGAAAGCCAACATAGTCTGTCAGCATGTGACATAACATGTCAAAATGCTACTGGAGTGGCCATGAAGAATGGAATTCAATGAAAAGAAACTGGAATTCAACAAAAAGAAAAGCAGAACCTGAAGCAAAAGAGAATAGTTTAACTATTAATGGTTCAGCTAAGGTTTAGAGCAGTGACTCTGTGGGTGATGTGGTACCTTGGGCTTTTGTGAGCCCCCTGGCTGCTGTGAGATCCTTTTAAGCGTTCTCCAGGCTGCTCTGCATTATTAGCAGTATTAGGTATGCAAACACCTACACATGATTCCCAGGTAAACCGAGAGTTTTCATATAGGAAACATTCTAACCTGTTGTGATCTTTTTAAGTTCTTTGCAACAGAAGAATAGCTCTACTTTTCTTCTACACTTCTGAAATAAGTACAAGGTGTAAGAGTTGATATTTTCCAAGAGGTGCCTTGAGTCTAAAAAGATTGAGAGCCACTGGTACAGAGACATCCATTTATTCTACAAAATGGTATTAGTGAGAGTGAAAAGTAGTTGACTCTGTGATAGCAAGGTTTTATCTGAGAGGAGAAAACTGGTTCCCCTATTTGCAAAATATGAGATTTCAAAAAATATCCTATTCTGCATTGGGATAGTAAGACCTTTGGAAGTTCCTGTTTCTGTTCAAACAAAAAAAAAAACCTGATGGGGAAATGCCCAGATTAGTAAAGTGCCCTGATGATCAGGGATATGAGAGAACCAGATTGAAATCCATCATCTGACTCATTCAGACCAGGAATGTGAGCCTAGAGCCCAGGCTTACAGGTTATTTTGGAGTGGATCTCTGTCTTTCATGTTGGAACTGTTCTACTTTATGTAGTATTGGTTGGGGCAGGATTTTGAACCCAACTTCTTTGGGGTGCTTATACACGTAACAAAAACTGGCTGTTTTTGCTGTTTAATTGTGTCATACTGTGGTGTGGGTGGGTTACGATTTAAATGAGTTTGCTGTGTTGCAAACTAAACCACATCCACATGTAATTTAATTTGCATCATAGCTATTTATAACATTGCAGCCTTTGACAGCTTCTGCCCCACCCCCGGCTGCCGGAGAGGTAGGCTGGAGGCAGAAATGGTGAAGGGCCTGTCCCCTTTCTTAATTATGTTTTTATTTTTTATTCATGGAGCCTGCACACGTCTCCTGCAGCTGGGGGGGGACCTGCTGGTGTGCCAAGCAGCCCTGGAGCTGCAGGGACCCCTGGTCCTTCCTTCCACGGTGCCAGCATCCCCCAGGCCACCTGGGTGGGCTGCTACCGAGGGGAAACCCACCATCATGGAGACAAGGTCCAGGGCTCTCTAGAGCTCAGGGCCAACCAGCAACTCATCCCTTGGCCATGGTAGAGGCAGGCAGGCTCCACGGGGGGGAGGGGGAAGAAAGAATCAGGCCCCTCACTGCTTTTTTTTCTTTTTTCCCCCTCAGCAGAGTCTGCCTGTGCGAGCTGCTGCTTGGCTGTGCAACCCCTGAGCTGCGGGCGTGGGGGTGCCTGGTTCTTCTCTTCAAGGTGGCGGCACTCCCCTGCGGCCTTCCAGGTGGGGTGCTAGCTGCACACTGCTGCCCCAGCTCACACACAGCACCTGCCACATCCGTCTGTTCCCTGAGTCTGTGCGGGGGCTTGGGGAAGAGTTGGATCCAGTGGGTGCTGCCTGTGAACTGGGGTAGCACCCTGCCCAGGCAGCCCCAGGGGATGCCGCCGCTACGGAGGAAACAACCATCCCTCCCCCCCCCCAGCTCGGGGACTGCATGGCCTGGCGACAGCTCACCCCACAGCTATGGGAGAGGCAGGCAGGCTCCGGGGCCAGGGGAAAGGAAGGGGAAGGCATCAGGCCCCTCACCATAACAGTGACAAAAGCCTCTAAATTGAAACGGTGGGTTTTTAATTGTTGCAATTAAAAACTCACCATTTCAATTTAGGGACTGAAACCCCGTCACATGTATAAGTGGCCCCATAATGTAGTTGCCTGCTCTAACTGCAGACATATAGAGTCTATGGCTTTTTATCCTTCTGGTTGGATTACGTCTTTTTACAGGAATTGTTTCAGCTGAACAGAGTGAGAACTAGAGGATTTCCTTTGTGAAAATGTTCCTCTGAGCTGGTGGGTTCTTGGCTTCATTGAAAAAGAGAAGCTGAAGTTCTGTTACATTGATCTCTTCTTAAGGTTCAAGGTTCCCTCTGTTTAGAAGTTGTGGTTGTGTCAACGAGGTAAATTTACTGTGGGCAACAATGGCACCCTCAATTATGCTGCTCTACTACTCATATTACATACGCACTAATAAATAGAGATGGCCTGTCCTTAATGGTTATATAAGAGTTCTAGTACCTGCCCACCACAAAAAAGCCTTACTCTTGATTCATTTATGCCAGCTGATCTGGTTTTCAGGAAGGTCAGGTATTTGAGCTATAGCAGTGATTAGAATGAAAGAACTGCTGCCTTAGATTTCCTGCAGCTTGGTGAGAATATTTTAAGGAAGACACAAGATGAGTCTTTATTTGGAACAACTCTGTACTTTTTCCTCTAGTCTCAAATCAGTGGGATTCCTTATGGTTACCCATATGCTTAAGTGTTTGCAAGATTGGGCCTTTATACTATGGTATAAATAAAATAGTAGTGACTATGCAGTTTTTCAGATAGTGGTAATTTTGAATGTATATCAATTACACATTTGCTTTATTTAATATTTCTGGTATGAATATGAACTAGAATATGTTTTTGCTCTAAGGACTGGAAAATATGGTGGCATTTTTTTAACTCCTTCCTTTGACCAATATGAGGTTTTCATTGAAACCATGCAGAATAGTAGTTGATAAATATGGAAGGAAAGAAGGTAGATATTTGTTGATTATTCAGTTCATTCTCATATGTTTCTCTTCCTTTTATTTCTTTGAGTCTGTAATGTTGACCAATTTTCCCTAATGTGGATGGTTGCTATTGTTATACTGTAGGTTCTTGCTTTAATGGGTTTTTTCCCCTCTTTATATATGACTTGTATATAAATCCTTAGTGCCTGACTGCATGCATGTGTGTATGTATACACTACACACAGACATGTACGTGTATATGTGGATACGCACACACATACATTTTATATGTGCATATGTATAAAATAACACCAAAAATCTACATGTGGTCCCTGTTTAATTATTTTTGGTAAAAGTGCAATGTCCAAAAATATACCTTACACATACTGATTAGGATCACTGAAACTTCCATTTCCCACTTAATTTAAATGCTTTTCCTCAGAAAGCCTTTTTGCCAATGCAACATCCTTGAACAGGACTCCTGCTGGTCAGTTTTCATGTCTTGCTGTGGCAGCTGTTAACATATGTACAACTGATTGTTAACGTGCAATATAAATCTGAACGGAGCATGCCCACTAATTGGTTTGAGAGCTGGATATAGACAATGCTGTCTTAGAGTAGCTTAAGTAGATAGGCCTAGTCATAGGGTTAATTCTGCTTGACAGCACATCAGCAGCATCTTGAGAATAATTACCCAACTTAAGCTTTCCCACAGCTGAATTGTGAACTTCAAAGGCTTTTGCATTTGAAACTAGTATTAACCTATATCTGAAACATGATTTTCCCACAAAGTCTAATTTTTTCTCCCTCTTATTCAATATGCAGGTTACTGAAAAGATAATACAGCTTTTTCTTGAGTGAAAAATCCGTAGTATACAACAGAAAATAATCATGCATATTAAACATGCCAATGTTTCTGCTAAGACAACACAAGCTAAACTTGAATTTGGCTCCATTTTCCTCTGTTTTAAAGAAAATGAAACCATTTATTTCCATTTTCAGAGCAAGTAAATTAAAGACACAAACCTCATAGGATGTTGTCCAACTAAATACTGATTATTGGATACAATCCATGTGACATTAATGCTTCAAAAATAGATTGAAAACATTCATGAATATATAGAATCCTATTAATGACTTTTACAAAGCTAAAATGGATGAACGCAATATGTATTTCAGAGCATCAATTATGTGTTGTAATTTATAGTTATATAACTCGATCCTGTTTTTATATTTAAACCCCATTTTCTCTTTCCCTTTTGTGGTTTGCTCTTAAATTTTACTTCCTCGTATCTGTACATTGTTAAAAAGATATACGAGTATTAAGTTTAACCCCCCCCCCATTTGGAATTAAAAATGTATTTGTACACATTAAATATTAATGTACCACCATATGCTTCCTTGTGAAATACTAGGAGGTTTTTTTCATCCTGTTGTCAAATTTCCATGATATAATAGCAGTTTTTATAACATTATCTCTTTCTGGCTTTTTTTTGCAGGTCAGACACAAAGTTTGATTCCAGTTCAGGTATGTTTAGATTTACAGTATTATGCTGAACATATTGTATTAAGGTTATTCTCAAAAGAGTAATTTATCCGTTTGAGTTCAATTTTAATTTTAAGCAGACTGAGACAAGCCAGTCTTGAAAAGGATCTGTTTTATCACCACTTGAAAACATTTGCACTGCTGAAGCCTTTGTTTTCATTTCCTTCATTCATTCACATCTTTTTTTACTTTTGTCCTAGAGATGATCAGGAAGTCGCATCTTGCAGTAGATTAGTACTGATCCATATGAAAACAGTAAAAAAAAATAAATCTAAAGCAAGTCGAGAGGAGGTGGAGCTTAGGAATGATCATTACATAAAAGAATATTTTTCTTTCTGGTAGACAAAGACATTTCATGGGAATTTAAAGTCTGTGCAAGCCTATATGTCAGGAAGCAGGTGATTTGTCATCAAATTTTCTTGACAGATGCATGTACACAATGCGTGCCAGACAAGGCAGCAGACTTTTGGAGGTTTACCAAAGGCGATATCTCTAAACTTGTCTTTTTAAAGAATTTTAATGTATTATGGGGGGAGGGAAGTGAAGGTCAGTCTGACAAGTTAATGTGTATTTAACCATAAAAAAAAGCCCAGGACAGCAAACAGGAGAACTGTTTTATCTAAATCAGGATGCTAAAATCAGAATGCCACTTGTTCAGCTGCCTAAATGTGGTTGTTCATTGAACTGGTAAAAGAGCATATTTGTAAAAAGTAAATTAGAAAAAATAACCATGTTCCTTTAGTTCTGGAACATGCTGAAATGTGTATAATTTGAAACAGTCATTCAAAAACATACACCTTTTGTTAAGAAGAAAAAGATTTATTTTGTAATAAAAAAAAAAACTATTTGTAGCACAGCCTTGCACTTAGGTTAGTGTTGCACTGTGTGAAGTGGTTAATGTTCAGTTTTGGAATTTTGAAAATATTACAGGGTGTATGCACTGAGTCTAGGAAACAGCTGTCATAATCCAAAATTGAATAGCGAAGTGCTATATTTTTTTCTTTGTTTTCTATTGAATTGTATCTTAAGAGCTACATAGGTGAAAAATGTATTGAAGGAAGCATTTGCAGAACCAGTTCTTAATTCATTTATGATTAAGTCATACTCTTTTTATTGTAATTGTAATCTTTGCATTTGGGGTTATTAGTAGCAGGTATTAAGTGAATTACATTCTAATTTTGGTACCCAGGGCTTGTGAAATGCAGGTATGAGGTAATAGGATCATTATAAACAGTTTCTGCTGTAACTTTTATAAAGAAAACAAGAAAGTGGCTTGAAAGAAACTGCCAAATATTTCTTTTCCTTATTGCCTTATTGGAACTGAAATGGGTTTTTAAAAAAATCTTCTTTTCAGTGTATGCTAAGCTGTGAACAGGGACTCCTGTTTCTGTATGTCGTCATGCTTTTCTGGGGAAATCTTAACTCTTTCCTAACATCCAGTGTTTATGATGCCTTTTTCCTTTGAGAGACTACATAGGGAGTCAAAGGAAAGGGTAGTATTCCACAGCATGTGGAATATTCATGAAATTTAATACTTGGCAGCCCTGGTAAAATACTATCCACTGGTCCTCAAATGGGCTGATGTGTTTGGGTCTCAAACATTTAAACTTCCCTTGGTCTGGTTAGACTTTGTGCTATTTCATTCTTTTCCAGTCTGGTACACTTCAAGCACATGTCTCTATTGACTCCTCACATACATGGGCCCTGGTGCTCTGCTGCCCTGGTTTCTAGACAAGTGTTTGATTCAGCTTTAGAGTCAGCCGTTTCAGAGGGATAGTGATTCAATTAGTTGATTAGAATCACTGTCCTAATTTTGATTTGGACTTGGAGATTCGGCCACCAAATTGGGCTGAATCTCCTTTGAATCGAACAGGCAGCAGCAGCAGTGTTGGCAGTGGGGGCGGGGCTCCACTCACTTCCCCAACTCCCCCCCCCCCCAAG